GTTCCTGTTTGTTTTCGCTTGTCCGTCGGCTGCACTGGTCGCCTCAGGCTCGCCCGCCGCCCCGCGGTCGCTCGGCCCCGGTTTTGCTTGTTTTTTTGTATGTTTTCGCTTGTCCGTCGGCTGCGCCGGTCGCCCCGGGCCCGCCCGCCGCCGCTCGGTCGCTCGGCTGGCCCAATTCACTGGTTTTGTTTGTTTTTGATTGTTTTCGCTTGTCCGTCGGCTGAACTGGTCGCCCTGCGCGCGCCCGCCGCCTTTCGGTCGCTCGGCCCCTCGGGCCAGTCCCTGGCTCTCTTTGTTTCTGTTTGCTTTCGCTTGTCCGTCGGCTGCGCTGGTCGCCTCAGGCTCGCCCGCCGCCCCGCGGTCGCTCGGCCCCTCGGCTGGCCAAATGCAATGGATTTGTTTGCTTTGGTATGTTTTCGCTTGTCCGTCGGCTGCACTGGTCTGGTCGCCTCAGGCCCGCCCGCCGCCGTTCGGTCGCTCGGCCCCTCGGCTGGCCCAATTCACTGGTTTTGTTGTTGTGTTGTTTGTTTTCGCCTGTCCGTCGGCTGCACCGGTCGCCCTGCGCACGCCCGCCGCCTTTCGGTCGCTCGGCCCCTCGGATGGCCCCATTCCCTGGTTTTCTTTGTTTCTGGTTGTTTTCGCTTGTCCGTCGGCTGCACTGGTCGCCTCAGGCCCGCCCGCCGCCCCGCGGTCGCTCGGCCCCTCGGCTGGCCAAAAGCATCGGTTGTGTTTGTTTTTGTTTGTTTTCGCTTGTCCGTCGGCTGCACTGGTCGCCCCGGGCCCGCCGCCGCCGTTCGGTCGCTCGGCCCCATCGGCCGGCCCAACTCACTGGTTTTGTTTGTTTTTGTTTGTTTTCGCTTGTCCGTCGGCAGCACTGGTCGCCCTGCGCACGCCCGCCGCATTTCGGTCGCTCTGCCCCTCGGCTGGCACCATTCCCTTGGTTTCTTTGTTTCTGTTTGTTTTCGCTTGTCCGTCGGCTGCACTGGCCGCCTCAGGCTCGCCCGCCGCTCCGCGGTCGCTCGGCCCCTCGGCTGGCCAAATGCGTTGGTTTTGTTTGTTGTCGTTTGTTTTCGCTTGTCCGTCGGCTGCGCTGGCCGCCCCGGGCCCGCCCGCAGCCGTTCGGTCGCTCGGCCCCTCGGCTGGCCAAATGCATTGGTTTTGTTTGATGTTGTTTGTTTTCGCTTGTCCGTCGGCTACACTGGTCGCCCTGCGCACGCCCGCCGCCTTTCGGTCGCTCGGCCCCTCGGCTGGCCCCATTCCCTGGCTTTCTTTGTTTCTGTTTGTTTTCGCTTGTCCGTCGGCTGCTCTGGTCGCCACAAGCTCGCCCGCCGCCCCGCGGTCGCTCGGCCCCCCGGCTGGCCAACTGCACTGGTTTTGTTTGTTTTTGTTTGTTTTCGCTTGTCCGTCGGCTGCACTGGTCGCCTCAGGCCCGCCCGCCGCCGTTCGGTCGCTCGGCCCCCCGGCTGGCCCAATGCGTTGGTTTTGTTTGCTTTTGTTTGTTTTCGCTTGTCCGTCGGCTGCACTGGTCGCCCTGCGCGCGCCCGCCGCATTTCGGTCGCTCTGCCCCTCGGCTGGCCCCATTCCCTGGATTTCTCTGTTTCTGTGTGTTTTCGCTTGTCCGTCGGCTGCACTGGTCGCCCCAAGCTCGCCCGCCGCCCCGCGGTCGCTCGGCCCCCCGGCTGGCCAACTGCACTGGTTTTGTTTGTTTTTGTTTGTTTTCGCTTGTCCGTTGGCTGCACTGGTCGCCCCAGGTCCGCCCGCCGCCTTTCGGTCGCTTGGCCCCTCGGCTGGTTGAATTCACTGGTTTTGTGTGTGTTTTGTTTGTTTTCGCTTGTCCGTCGGCTGCGCTGGTCGCCCTGCGCACGCCCGCCGCCTTTCGGTCGCTCGGCCCCCCGGCTGGCCCCATTCCCTGGCTTTCTTGTTTCGTTTGTTTTCCGCTTTGTCCGTCCGGTCTGCACATGGTCGCCCTCAAGGCTCGCCGCCGCCGCCGCGGTCGCTTCGGCCCCTCGGCTGGCCCAATTCACGTTTTTGTTTTGTTTTTTGTGTTGTTTTCCGCTTGCCCGTCGGCTGCGCTGGTCGCTCCAGGCCCGCCCGCCGCCGTTCGGTCGCTCGGCCCCTCGGCTGGCCAAATTCACTGGTTTTGTTTGTTTATCTTGTCCGTCGGCTGCACTGGTCGCCCTGCGCACGCCCGCCGCCTTTCGATCGCTCGGCCCCACGGCTGGCCCCATTCCCTGTCTTTCTTTGTTTCTGTTTGTTTTCGCTTGTCCGTCGGCTGCACTGGTCGCCCCAGGCCCGCCCGCCGCCGTTCGGTCGCTCGGCCCCTCGGCTGGCCAAATGCATCGGTTTTGTTTGTTTTTGTTTGTTTTTCGGTGTCACATCAGCTGCAGCACCTGGTCGCCCGAGACTAGCGCCCCGGCCGCCGTTCGTTCGCTAGGCCCTCGGCTGGCCCAATTCCATTTGTTTGGTTTTTGTTTGTTTTTTTCAGGGGGGGGGGGGCTTTCCGTTCGGCTGCACTGGGTTCAGTGGTTCGCCCCATGCCCGCCCGCCGCCTTTCGGTCGCTCGGCTCCTCGGCTGGCCCCATTCCCTGGCTTTGTTTGTTTTTGATTGTTTTCGCTTGTCCGTCGGCTGCACTGGTCGCCCTGCGCACGCCCGCCGCCTTTCGGTCGCTCGGAGCCCTCGGCTGGCCCCATTCCCTACAAGCGAAACAAACAGAAACAAAGAAAGCCAGGGAATGGGGCCAGCCGAGGGGCTGGGCGACCGAAAGGCGGCGGGCGAGCCTGGGGCGACCAGTGCAGCCGACGGACAAGCGAAAACAAACAAAAACAAACAAACCCAATGAATTTGGCGATCCGAGGGGCCGAGCGACCGGAAAGCGGCGGGAGAGGCTGGGGCGACCAGTGCAGCCGACGGACAAGCGAAAACAAACAAAACAAAGAAAACAATAGAATTCGGCCAGCCGAGGGGCAGAGCGACCGAAACGCGGCGGGCGAGCCTGGGGCCACAAGTACAACCGACGGACAAACGAAAACAAACCAAAACAAACAACACCACGGAAATGAGCCAGCCGAGGGGCCGAGCGACCGAAAAGCCGCGGGCGAGCCTGGAGCGACCAGCGCAGCCGACGGACAAACGAAAACAAACAAAAACAAACAAAACTAAGCATTTGGCCAGCCGAGGGGCAGGGCAGCGCGACCGAAAGGCGGCGGGCGAGCCTGAGGCGACCAGTGCAGCCGACGGACAAGCGAAAACAAACAGAAACCACACGAAACCAAGGACTGGGGCCAGCCGGGGTGCCGAGCGACCGAAAGGCGGCGGGCGTGCGCAGGGCGACCAGTGCAGCCGACGGACAAGCGAAAACCAACAAAAACAAAGAAAACCAGCGAATCTGGCCAGCCGAGGGGCCGAGCGACCGCGGGGCGGCGGGCGAGCCTGGGGCGACCATTGCAGCCGACGGACAGGCGAAAACAAACAAAAACAAACAAACCCAACGAATTGCGCCAGCCGAGGGGCCGAACGACCGCGGGGCGGCGGGCGAGCCTGGGGCGACCAGTGCAGCTGACGGACAAGCGAAAACAAACAAAAACAAACCAAACCAAATAATGGGGCCAGCCGAGAGGCCGAGCGACCGCGGGGCGGCGGGCGAGCCTGGAGCGACCAGCGCAGCCGACGGACAAGCGAAAACAAACAACAACAAACAAAACCATGAATGGGGCCCGCCGAGGCCGAGCGACCGCGGGGCGGCGGGCGAGCCTGGGGCGACCAGTGCAGCCGACGGACAAGCGAAAACAAACGAAACGAACAAACACACAGAAATCGACCAGCCGAGAGGCCGAGCGACCGCAGGGCGGCGGGCGAGCCTGAGGCGACCAGTGCAGCCGACGGACAAACCAAAACAAACAAAAACAAACAAAACCAAAGAATTGGGCCAGCCGAGGGGTCGAGCGACCGAAAGGCGGCGGGCGAGCCTGTGGCGACCAGTGCAGCCGACGGACAAACGAAAACAATCACCCACAAACAAAACAAAGGAATGAGGCCAGCCGAAAGGCAGAGCGACCGCTGTGCGGCGGGCGAGCCCGGGGCGACCATTGCAGCCGACGGGCAAGCGAAAACAAGCAAAAAACAAACAAAACCAAGGAATGGGGCCAGCCGAGGGGGCGAGCGACCGAAAGGCGGCGGGCGAGCCTGGGGCGACCAGTGCAGCCGACGGACAAGCGAACACAAACAGAAACAAACAAAACCAAGGAATGGGGCCAGCCGAAGGGCCGAGCGACCGCGGGGCGGCGGGCGAGCCTGAGGCGACCAGTGCAGCCGACGGACAAGCGAAAACAAGCAAAAGCAAACAAAACAAAAAAATGAGCCAGCCGAGGGGCCGAGCGACCGAGACGCGGCGGGCGAACCTGTGGCAACCAGTACAGCCGAAGGACAAGCGAAAACAAACAAAAACAAACAAAACCAGTGCATGGGGCCAGCCGAGGGGCCGAGCGACCGCGGGGCGGCGGGCGAGCCTGGGGCGACCAGTGCAGCCGACGGAGAAGCGAAAAAAAACAAAAACAAACAAAATCAAGGAATGGGGCCAGCCGAGGGGCCGAGTGACCGCGGGGCGGCGGGCGAGCCTGAGGCGACCAGTGCAGCCGACGGACAAGCGAAAACAAACAGAAACAAACAAAACCAAGGAATGGGGCAAACTGAGGGGGCGAGCGACCGCGGGGAGGTGGGCGAGCCCGGGGCGACCAGTGCAGCCGACGGACAAGCGAAAAAAAACAAAACAAAAAAAAACAAAACCATTGCATGGGCAAGCCGAGGGGCCGAGCGACCGCGGGGAGGTGGGCGAGCCTGGGGCGACCAGTGCAGCCGACGGGCAAGCGAAAACAAACAAAAACAAACAAAACCACATAGTGGGGCCAGGCCGAGCGACCGCGGGGCGGCGGGCGACACTGGGGCGACCAGTGCAGCCGACGGACAAGCGAAAACAAACAAAACAATCAAAACCAAGTAATGGGGCCAGCCGAGGGGCCGAGCGACCAGCGTCGCCCAGGGAAGTGACAACCAAACCCTAGAAGTAGATTAGGTTTGCGCCCGCCCCCAAAAAAAACAAAAAATATAGATTCTTGAAATAGGAAGGCGCTTAAAGTAGATTGGGATCTGGGAATCCAAAAATACCTACTTTCAACGACCGGTGGGTAAATCTCTTTTGCGGAGAGCGCGTGCAGCTTTGACCCACGTGTTCGTCGTGGTGAGACGAACCCTGTAATCAGGATCGCTGGTCATTCTGCCCAGCAGCGGCAAAGACTTGACGGGGTACAACTTGAGAGCAATGTTCAGTGGACGCTTGGCCACGTCCCAGCGAGTCTTGAAGGTCGTGATCGTGTCAAAGCACTCGGCTGCCTCTGCCAAAGCAGGTCTAGCGTTGACAGTTTCGTTGAGCGCCTTCTCAAGCGCAGCTTCAACATCCCCATCACGAACGGATGCGTTCAAGCACATACCCGGAATCAACGTCGATACTGGGCGGGCGGGCCGTTCTGGCGAGCTCTGGCCGTGGTGCTTCCCGCTACGGGTGATCACCAGCTCAAGCACCTTCTTCTGTCTGAGCTCGTTGCGAATGCCCTCGCCGTTTCGAATGCCATTCACCTCACCTCGGCAATATGGTCACCAGAGTTCACTGCCAGCTCGGGGTGGTCCCGATTCCATTGATCAGCGAGGCCGCTGATCATCACCCTCTTGATCGTGACGCCGCCCCCGCGGTACGACAAAACCACGCCCAGCTTATGATTGGTCGTCTGGTTGATGAGCACCTTGGCCCCAGGGGCCTGCACGGTAAGATGTTCCAGCTGCATTGGTGAGCGAGCTGCACTCGCTGCCCATGGCGAGCACGAAAGGATGATACGTAATATGTGTATATATAGAATGGATGGTGAACATGCTGGAAGCGAGTTTCTTTACGCAGTGAGACGAATGCCTCCTTTGAGCAACATTGGCGTGAGCCCAAATCGCTACTCACAAAATCTCGCTCGATCTTCTGAGTTGGCACGCCACCCCGGTGGGCCCTCCCAAAGCGCAGTTGTCTGAGCTGCGCAAATAGTACGATACTTCGTTGGACACCCCAGAATCACACGGAAATTGCAATATTTGTTCAATTGGCACCGCCGAGGGAAGCCATGTCCGGTTTATCCATGGTGGACGACACCACGCTGGACCTTCCAAGAGCTCACGAAAGTAGCGAAAGTTGCGCACTTGACGGCACCCATGTTGGATCCCCGGAGGACGTCACCCCGGTGGACCCTCCAGGAGCTCACGAAGGTGACGGCAATTGCGCAGTTGGCAGCACCCAGGGAAGGCAAGGTGTCGCTTGGACCCGCGTAGTGCGCCACTCCGCTGGACATCACATGGGCGAACACAGGTGGCGACAGTTGCGCGCCTGGCAGCACCCAGGAAGGCGAGGTTTCGATCCCCGTAGGACGACCCCCCGCTGGATCTCCCAGGGCCCAGGGCCCACGAAAATGGCGCCTCCTGCGCAGTTGACGGCACCCGCGGAGGGCGAGGTTTCATTTAGATCCTCGTAGGACGTCGGACCTGTGAACATCCCAGGAACTCGCGAAACGACAGCGGCGCGTTTGGCAATACCCAGGGAAGGCCAGGTCCCCTTCGGATCCCCTGAAGACGTCACTCCGCTGACCACCCCGAGCTCACGGAACTGGTGACAATCGCGAAGCCGCTACGTAGCACCCAGGGGATGGCCAGGCCGCCGTTCGACCCCGTAGGACGCGACGCGGCTCTGCTGGCCCTCTCAGGAGCTCGCGAGCGTGGGGACATTTGCGCTGTTGGCAGCGCCCAATGGGGGAGAGGTCATGTCTGGGTCCCCATGTGACGTCAAACCGCTGGACCTCACGGAAACTCACGAACGTGGCAACCGCTCCATTCAGGACCCACGGAAGGCGAGGCCTTGTTTGGATTCATGTAGGGTGTCACTCCGCTGGACCTCCCAGGTATGAGCGACATAGGCGGCAGCAGCGCGCTTGTGGCAGCACCCCGAGACAGCGAGGGACCCGCGTAGTCAGTCAGCCCGCTCGGCCTCCCATGAGCTCGCGAGAGTGCCGACATTTGCGCTATTAGTAACACACAGGGAAGGCGAGGTTTTGTTTGGGTCCCCGTATGACGTCAATCCGCCGGGAATCCCCTCCTCCTCCTTCTCCTCCACCTCCTCCTCCTCTCCCTAGCCGCCCCGCGCTCCGCCACGCGACGCGCCTCCCCCCCAGGAGAGATCGGCAAATCACCACCAGCATCAATCAATACACCGAGGTGCCGGTCCAGGAGTCGTACCGTGGGGGAGGTCGGGGCATCAGACGTCGGAGCGTCTGCGGAAGGCAGGGGCCCCCCAAAAAAGAAGGCTGATGCCCTGTGTGAGGGAGCGGAGGATCACAGAGCCAACCCTGCCCGAGATCCGCAGGATGGAGACGAGAGAGGGATCCCCCCCCCCCCCTCTCAAAGCGAGCAGCTCGTGCGTGCCCAGCGGTGCGGCCCGAGTGTCCAGACCCTGGGCCTGCGTGGCCACGCACGAGGCGAGGAGGCAGGGAAGGCGAGGCTCCCCGAGGGCTCCCCGGGGGCTCCCCGAGGGCCCCCCCCGACGCCCGAGGGGCCTCCGAGGGGCCCCCCCCCGCGGCGAGCCCGCGGCCGGCGGCGGCCCGCCCGCGGCCTCGGCGGCCGCGCCGCGCGCCCGCAGCAGCCGCTGCAGCTCGCCCTCCGACGCGCCGAGCTCCCGCCGCAGCGCCGCCGCGCGGCCCCGCAGCGCCGCCAGCTCCGCCTCGACCTGCCGGAGGGCGCGAGGCCCGGGGGGAGGCTGGGGGGCTCGATCGCTGGAGGATCCGGGCCTTCGAGCCTCGATCGCTCGAGGATCGACCGCTCGAGGCTCGAGGCTCTCGAGCCTCGATCCCGAGCCTCGATCCCGCGAGGCTGGCGCCGCCGCGCGCGGCCCCTGGGCGCCTGCAGCTGCGACTACGCGGTCCTGCCGGCGCCGCGGAGGGATCGAGCTCCGGGGCTCGAGGTCGAGGCTCGAAGGTCGAGGTCGTCTTTCACATCGTGGAAGGTTCGTGGGCACGATGGACGGCCCCGCGTGGTGCGTTCCGTGAAATTGCACTACGCCGTGCTTCACATCATGTGCTTTCCTGCATAAGGTAATCGCCTGCTCGCAGTTCTGCTGGTCCAGAACTCTGGTGTTGCGGGTCACCTGACGAGGCAGGCGCATAATCTGCCGACGCTGGTTCGTCTTTTTTTGGGAGGGGCGTTTATGGTGTCTATCTCGGCCTCCAGAGGCCTCAACCTTTCGGGGACCTCCGGCCCCTCAGCGCCGCCGGCTCCGCCTCCGCCCCTCATCGTCGGGATGGAAGGGCGGTGGCGGCTCGTAGGAGGGCCCAAGTTTTTTGACGGGTTCGGGGCCCGTCGGGCCTCGAGGATCCTGGGGGACACGGCTGGATCCGCCACAAAATTCTGGTCGGAGCGCACCTCAGGAGAGATCCCAGAGCCGATTTCGAGGGAGCATGCGGGATCGAGGAGGGATCGAAATTAGAGGATCGATGGTTTTGGCTGATTTTCACTTTCACGCTCTCGCTGTGGATTTCCTCACGATTGATTTGAGAATCGAGCCGTCGCTCGAGACTTCCTCGCGATTCATGCAGGACGCACGCTTCAGCAACCCGCCTGTTCGACCTGGCCGCCTGGGCCCTCCTTCCCGACCCGCCTGGTAGGGTCTACCCGCCCGATCTGCCCGTCTGGTTCTGCCACTTGTTTTCTGCTCCTAGCCCCCCTCCTGCAGCTCTCTCTCTCTCTCTCTATCGCTCGTGCTCCATCCTCCTCCCTACCCCTTGTCCCTTCCTTCCATCCGTCCTCTTTTCCTCTGCTTCAGTGGCTGCACGAAATACACGTAGCAGGTAAGGAAGATATACCCCAAAAAGGGAACGGTCGAAAACGAAGAGGGCGGGATCGAGGGTTCTGGATATACGTGTTGAATGGCACGCGAGAAGATAAGAGCGAACAGTATTAACATGATTGTTGTCGTGTTGCTGCTGCTGTTGTTGCTGCTTGCTGTTGTTGTAGCTGTTTTTGCTATTGTTGTGGTTGTGGTTGTGGTTGTGGTTGTTGTTGTTGATGTTGTTATTTATGGTGTTACTGTTGCTGCTGCTGTTGACTCTTTAATTTCGAAAATAATCGTATAGATATTGTTGACCACCACCCCCACTGCCCCGTAACCTTCGTTCTTCAATTGAAGTGCTTCTCGCGGGGTTCGCACACTGTTTTCGACAAGGGTAAACTGGGTGTCACCAAATTAAGCCCCTAGCTTCTGGTTTACAACAACAAGAGCTCCCGCCTGATACTTCCTCACAGACGCTCAGGAATCACGCTCCCGCTGAAGATTTCTCACGATTTATTTGAACATCGCGCTATCGCTCGAGACTTCCTCGCAACTCATGCCGGACACACGCTTCAGCTAAGCGCCTGCTCGACCTGGCCGCCTGGGCCCGCCTTCCCAGCCCGCCAGTTAGGGTCTACCTGCCAGGTCTACCCGTCTGGTTCTGCCACGTGTTTCTGCTCCCAGCCCCCGTCCTGCTACTCCCTCTCGTGCTCCATCCTCCTACCTCCCCCTTGTCCCTTCCTTCCGTCCGTCCTCTCTGCCCCTGCCTTGGGGGCTGCACGAACCGCACGTTGCAGGTAACAAAAATATGCCCTGATAAGGGGGCACGATCTGACGAAGAGGGCGGGTTATCGAGGGTTTGGGATATACGTGGCACGCGAGCAGATAAGAGTGAACAGTCCTAACATGATTGTTGTGGAACTCTGACGAATGAAGAGTAAGTGCTGATGATCCCCCTTCGGAGCACATTCCCTAATCAGAGCTTGCCTCTGTAGGGGTCCTAGCGGATTAAAGGGTTAGGTGAGGTTCGTCGCCGATTGCGGTGGCCGGGCCCGGGTGCCCGGGTGCCTGGGTGCCCGGCGGTGCCCGGGTGGCCGGAGAGGTTCGTCGCCGATTGCGGTGGCCGGGCCCGGGTGCCCGGGTGCCCGGGTGCCCGGGGGTACCCGGGGGTGCCCAATAGCCCAATTGCCCAATAGCCCAGTAGCCCTATAGCCCTATAGCCCTATGGCCCTATAGCCCTGTAGCCCTATAGCCCTCTATCCCTATAGCCCTAATAGCCTTATATCCCTATAGCCCCATAGCCCATACAGCTCTATAGCCCCATAGTCCTATGGCCCGATAGGTCACAGTCCGAAAGCCCTATAGCCCTATAGCCCGATAGCCCTATAGCCCTATAGCCCGATAGCCCTATAGCCCTATAGCCCGACAGCCCTATAGCCCTATAGCCCCATAGCCCGCCCGCCCTATAGCCCGATTGCAAAGGGAACAATTGGAAGATTAAACAAATCTGATTGGGTTTTTCTCCGGTATCATTGTGTTTTTCAATTGAAATGCACATCCTGGGGCTCGCACCCTGTTTCTATCAGGGAAAATCTTGGATCTCAGAATTATGTCTTCGACCCGGTTTACAACAACAGCGGCTCCCGCCTGATACATCCTGATATTTACTCACAAGTTACTCCCAAATCGCGCTCTCGCGCGGGACATCCTCACAATTTGTACAGGGATTGCGGTCTCGCGAGGGACTTCCTTACAAATTATTCATACGCTACGCCCTCGACACTCAAACATCACGCTACCACACGATGTATTTGGGAATCGCGCTATCGCTCGAGACTTCGTCGAGATTCATGCAGGACGCACGCTTCAACAACCCGCCTGCTCGACCTGGCCGCCTGGGCCCTCCTTCCCGACCCGCCCGTTAGGGTCTACCCGCCCGATCTGCCCGTCTGGTCCTGCCACGTGTCTGCTCATAGCCCCCCTCCTGCTACTCTCACTCTCTCTCGTGCTCCATCTGCCTCTCTCCCCCTTGTCCATTCCTTCCATCCGACCTCTCTTCCCTTGCCTCAAGGGCTGCACGAAATACACGTTGCAGGTAAGA